TGTGTATAAATATAAAGCAATATGCGCCAACGTGTAATCCTTTATATAATTAAGAGCTTGATGAGAACTCGATATCTAGAAAAATTAAATCAAGACATGCTGAATACACATGGAACAGAAGTTTTCAAGACTGATTATATGAACTGTTCGCTGTATCTTTATCATTTTATGACTGTGTTATGGCACATGTACAGACGAGAGAAAATAAACCGTTTTATTATCGTTTTGCATATCACCACAAGGATAAAGATGAGCACTAGTTAAATATATTTAACACAAAGAAATATTTAAATATTAAAAAAGGTTAATTTTAAACAGAAAGCATCATGTGTTGTAAATATAATTTAAAATACATCTATTTCAAATAGCGCTTAAACAATCAGTAAAAAAAGTACAGGAAAAGCAACTTGCATTACTTGAACTGCTTCAGAAAAATTCTTGACATATTTTTAACATTAAATAAAAGCATCTCATTTTGAATTTATTATAAAAAGCACAATAATTAATATTGCGAACATATATAATATATAAGAACATATATAATAAATGAGAATATTGTTTTAATCAAAAGCTTTTTTTATATCTAACTTTATTATATTTAACTATTATAATAACTACTATAATAAACTATTATAATATAATATTTAATATAAATTTAACACGTAAATTTAACACGTTGATCTCATTCAATGTTAAGCACGACGACCAGACGCGAATCTTTATATTGCGATAAGAAAGAATATAACAAGATAATCTAATCTCTTACAATAACAATTTTTTATATATAATTCATTTTATACTATCATTATCGTCTTGAGTAGTGCATGCTAAGAGACGTAAAAGGAAAAAAAAGTTATAATTGAATCAAGTCTTACGAAGCAATTTATTATCAAAAGATTTGAAAATGAAAGATAATCTGGTTGACACGATATTACGTTATTCAAAGATCATCGTATAATCTCTGAACATTTCATGGGTCAAAATAATGATAGATATTATTGATTGCTTCTCATTTCTGCACAAATTCATGATGTTACGAAATTACTCTTATATCAAAAAATTATGCGATAAAATAAGAAGTATAGACGAATATAATCGATACTAAATCAACAATCCCAAAGATTTTTGTAGTCGGACTGCAGAGGTAAGAGCAATCGCGATGATCATAATTATCATTCATATTTTCGTCTTATCACGTGATCAATTGCATCATTTCAGAGACGTTATCGTAAGATTTATCGTCAACGTGACATCCGTTTTATCCTGAGTATTTCTATAACTATGCATTTATTACGACAAGACTTAATTACCGATACGAAAAAATGATAAATCAAAACTTTTGACAATGATAGATGAAAACTAATCGCGATTGCGGAAAACGAAATAAATTGGTAAAGAAATTAAAAAAAAGATTCTCTCTGATATTAGAAATCCTAACAAAAAGATGAAAGAGTCAATCAAAGCCAGAATGTAGACGTAATTCTCTAATATTTATGTCAATAAATACTAACTTGTCTCCATTTTCAAAACTTTTATAACTAACATTATATGTAAATTTCGAGTTGTCTCTCTCTCTCCTCATTTTTTGTTTCTGTCTCTTTAAGATACATAATATAACATAAATTGAAAATAAACACCAATATATATATGTCAAAGAAAAAGACATCTTTGAATAATTACAATTTTAATAAATAATCCATCAACAGAAAACTAAACAGTGATAAGTATCTTTTGAAAGATTATCTTACTTATTCGAAAAATTATTCTTTCCCCCCATATGAGAAAGAAAAAGTTTAAAAAATTTAGCGTACATAACGTACAGAGAAAGGAGAAGAGAAAGAGATTTTTGAAAATTACCATACAAAGACGAATTTATAAATCTACATACTTATTCATTCCCTGTTTCTTTTTTTCTTTTTGTGAAAATAAATAGCATATTCGATTATTCTATGTCAAAATAATTAATTCTCATTTATGAAAATAAATACAAAATTCTTAATTTGTTACATTATGCAACTAATAAAAATAAAAAAGAAATAATTGATTAAGGATGTATTGGAGATATATTACAATCAATCAGATCGCCGTGAATTTTTAATTTAACATTCTTAATAACATTCTAAATCATCATGAATTATTTCAAATTTTTTTACTTGCTCTTTTAAAAGTTATTAATTTTTTAATTTTGCGATTTTAACATAGGATCTTATGTAAACGTTCAAGAGACAGGTAATAAATTATTCACAAATAAATTATTCACTATAAAAAAACAATGATAAAAATTTCATTTTGTAATATTATATTCTTCATACATATAAAAATGTTCCCACAAAGTTTTAAAATTTACTTGCTCGTTTTGAAATTATTATTAAAAAATAACTGTGATTATCAGTTTGATGCAACATTGATGATAAAACGTGGCAACATTTTCTTGGAAATTAAAACCTATTTATATTAAAGAATACTTTGAAGTATGATTTCGTGACTTTTAAAAAATTTTTGATCAATTAGAATTCGTATTCTGCCCAACTTTAATTTTTTGGTACTTTGGATTAACTTTTAAGACAGACGGTCCAATACATTGTTAATTTAGCAACATTAATATTTTCAGTTATATTCAGCATATATACAAAATTTTTGAAAACTTAATTATAATGTAATTATAATTTTGAAAACTTAATTATATTGAAAACTTAATTATAATGTAATAATAATTTCACAGCTCTTACTATAAAAAATAAAGCGTTTAAATAATAAAATAATACTTAATTCTAAAAATATTTAAGGGATCCTAATTTTAATTCCGTTATCTTCTTCACAAATAAGATAATTAAATTACTAAAAATATTATTGAATAATCGATTGATAATTATTCATAATTTTTAGAAAGAATTCGAAAATTTATGACAATTTAGAATATTAAAACATGTACGTGTTAAATTTAAATTGCGATTGCGTTTTTACGAATATTTATTACGAATATTACATTTTTGATATTTTACAACAGATTTACAATAAACATTTTTTATGGATTAAATAAAAATTTTGAAAAAAAAAAAAAAAAACATTTTTGATCATTTTATTTTTTTTAAATCAATAGCTTCTATGATTTACCTCGTATATCACTTAACGATAATATCAAATTAGCTTTCACGATGATAATATCAAATTAGCTTTCACTTAATATTGGAAGTCTTCGAATGTTTAATTGTTTCTAATACTAATGTTATTTTTGCTCAGAAGTTCGATGGTAATTTTCTTTAACTAATATCCGAATACTGAACCCACAGTAAGATATATAATATGAGAAAATTATGGGAATTAGATGGTCGAAAATGATACGAATAAAAATTTTTGATGTTGAATTACAGCTACAGAAGAAATCTTCAAGACAGTTTTCAAATCTACTCTCATGATACTTTAAATGCTATGTATTTATTTCTGATATACAAGACATTAATAAAATACTTTAAATAAAATGTCTTTGATATAAAGTAAAAATAAATACCTAAAAGTAAATACAAATATATTTTTCTAATATTTATTGCAATGAGAGACAGATAACTGATTCAACATGATCAATCATCTAATTGACGTCAAAGATAAATCCATAGATCTTATCATAAAAATAGATGACTTCATTTAATGGCTTCATTTAATGAATAAATGCAATGTGAGTCGATTTCGATATTATTACAAAAATATCAAAATATTTTAATGTCTCGTTTTTCTTAGAAATCCAACGATAATTGGCGAATATTCTCATGCACTCTTAAATTGTAAATGCAAGGAATGCAAAACTCAAAACAACGTAATAAAGTCGTAATTCAAATTCAAGGTTAATTAACGAGGTTACTCATTAAGCGATTATGATATACTACATCAAAAACAATTTTCTAATGATTGCAAATCATTTTCAATCAAACAATGATGAACGATAAAATAGTATAAATAAAGCTCACGTAATTAAATAAATCGCATGACATTATTTGTCATGGTACTTTAAATGCTATGTGTTTATCTGATATACAAGGTACTATCAATAAATATCAATAAAATATTTTAAATAAAATGTCTTTGACATAAAGACATTTATTTCATACAAATGACAAAAACTGACAAAAACTATTACGTCATCTGTAATTAATTGCTTGAGAATATGATCTTTTCATCTGATATATGTTATTCAACTCAAACATCGTAACACATAATTATTTTCTTTGCTTGTCAATACATCGTATAAATACACGTTAAAAATGTTTAATAAAAAAATAAGCATTCATCATATAGTTTTTTTTAACCTACTAGATTAAATATTTTTTTATACTACTTCTAAAAAATTATTACTTAAAAAGTATTAATATGTATTAATATTAATAAAGTATAAATATTAAAATTTTAAAGTATTAATATTAATAAAGTATTAATATTAAAATTTTTTAAATTTGAAAATATTAATTAATAAAAAATAATTTTCGACAATATAATCATAAAAATTGATTTCTAAATATTATTCAAGAATAATAAAAATATTGTAAGATTTATATCTACATAAAATAGGTTAAATCTTATCTTCAAACAATTTAATAAAAAATTTACTATTTCGAAAATAAAATGAATTAAATCTTATTATTTTGTTTAATATAAAATTTATAAAATTTGTTTTTTATAGGATTTGCATATGAAATGCTCGAATCTCGTTTCGAATCATTTAATGCTCATCATTTTAATATGCTACTCACTTTAATATTACGTAATTCGATATACAGAAAAAATGTTTTTAAAATTTAAAATTATGCTTTGAAATGAGAAGAATATAGACTTAAATATCGTGAGAAATATCGTTTATATACAAGAAAGTCAACGTACTTGAGTCAGACTAGTAGCTTCATCAATGTTATGGAATGTTATTTACCTTTGATCATAATAGACTATGAAATGCTTCTCATTGTAATCATATTTGCGCCTGAGTTATAAAGTGGTATAAAAAGTAAAATATAGTAGAAATTTCATTATTTGTCTTCGAATATGTTATTGTTACACTTTTTTTATAGACAAAATGTATATGCGACATAAGAAATATCGGATGTAAAAATCATTTACTCTGATTAAATGCCAGCAGAAATGTATATTTATAAAAAAAACCACAGAACCATTTGTTATATAAGACATTTGTTACTTATTATATACTAAATTAATTTTATAAGAAGATTTTAAAAGTGATTTTATAAGAAATTTTATTTCTTCTCACTTTTTAAATGCTTCCATATCTTTGCACCAACAGCAGATCATGAACCGATCCTTTAAATGAGCACTAATGCAGTGTATAAAAAGTTGTTTCTTTAGAAACTATATATATAATTTAAAGGGAAGATTATTTTAACATTTTCTATGTAACATGATATCGTGAAATAAATTACTTATAAATACTTATATATCCTGCATTTCCATCTCGATATAACTTTAGACGATATAATCATATGCTTTTCAAATTATTATAAGTAAATGTGCAAAATATATATTTGTAATAAATAGATCTTTTCCTTAATGATCCTATGTGCATCATAGGTTGAAAAGAACAAATTTTTTTACTACCATACGTGTATCGCTGAACAAGCGATTAAACTCGCGCCGGTAAGAAGTGCTCGTAATAATTCTTCGTGAAGTCTACCATGAGATCCAGCGTGCACTCGGGCAGCTCTTCGACACATGTTGCCGGACTGCCAGCGAAACGAGTGAAGGATGGCACAATAGTCTCAGGTGGCACGACTGCACCATCTTCGATGTAGCAACAGTCCTTTAAGACCGATCGCCTGCCCTACAGCGAGACAAGTATGGTAGATTGAAAGAACTGCACTTGTACTCACATGCACTGTATTATGGTACATACGATTATGGCATTCTTCCCTATGTAAACGTAAGAACCGACTAGTGCTGCATTTACAATGGCTCGCTCTCCCACAAACACATGGTTTCCCATTGTTAAAGGAAAAAAGGCAACCCTAATCAAAGGGTTTATCACTTTATAACAAAACAATATTTTGATAGTACCTAAAATTTTATGCGATTGCAGAAATATGCTTGCTTGCGATGTGCAAACTACTATTATACATCTGAATATACATGTTTGCTGGCATTGCGATGTGCTTCAATAAGTAAGTGGAAGCTGTTAATGCAAATATAATCAGAAATTTCACTCACCCTCTGCTGAATTTTTTGAAAGGTGGTCGGATGACTGCATTCTTGCTAATTATGCAATAGCGACCAGTCCTGACATTGGCCAGATCACCCCTAATGATAGCATCAGATTGTACTATCACTTTTCCGTGTAATACAATGTTTTGCGAGCCGCATAGTACTGTCAATCTGCTCACCTTATTTCCTGAAGCCTGAAATGCCGCACGAATAAGGTTATGTATTGTCGACGTTTGTAAATTCGATATTATCACGAAAATAAAATTGATTAAGTTAAATTGCTTTTATCAGCATTTTTTTTAAATAACTATAATATTTCTGTTTTTCAAGACTTACTAGGTATTCTCGAAATAAATGTATCTTAATTAATATATCTACTTAAATCTGCATAGCTAATCTTATTACCGTTTCAACATATTCGGCTTTGTTATAATAAATATCTTGCGGTTCCATCTCGATATGATCTTGGACGATATAATCATATGTTGTTCAAATTATTATAAATAAACAACGCTTCAACAGTGAATAACAACTCTGTCAACGACACAGTCCGCCATTCACTAACGATGCGCCATCTGCTGAGAAAATATTATACCCTCTGTTAACTAAACGTGGACATGAACTACAATGCCAAAGTCCACGAAGTTCTCAGAGGGTAACATATATGTGCACAATTTCTGATTCTGTTCCGTGCTATGTAAAAAATGCTTGTAGTACACGAAATGCCTATGTACACGAAATGTCATCAGTGCTGTATAGCAAAACGCATATGTATATAAATATAAATAAATTTTTAATTTTAATTTTTTGAATAAATTTTGTGGTCCTCTCTCTCTCTCTACACATACACAAATAAACACACACACACACACACATATATAATATATATATGTATATATAGTATGACGCTACAACTTAATTTATTCTAAAATATCTGCATTATGTTTAGAATATATATATATATATATATATATATATATATATATATATATTTAATTATATATATATTCAATATAATTATATATAATTATATATATATATATATATATATATATTTAATTTAAGACATTACATGAAATACACGCGCTGGAATTACATATATATATATATATATATATATATATATATATATTCTATGTGTACATAAATACAGATATATTATCTCTTTCCGAAAGATATGTTAACATTGAAAAATTTAAATATAATATATATTTAATTAATTGATTCATATAATATATATTTTTAATATATTTAATAAACTGTTATTTCATATACTTTAAATATATATAACGTATAGAAGAACTTTTCGATGAAAATGGCAATGTTCATTATATTGATAAACGAAACAAAAAATATTAATAAGAAAAGATTGGATTGCTTTGAGAAACAATACAAGAATTTTATATTAAAAAGGGTAGACAACGATAGGAAATCTCTATTCAGGTACATATATTAGACGTTATTAATATCTTTCACTTCTGGAGCCATTTTCGGATCGAATGCATTGTGTCTTGATAATGGATTATATCCCATTGTTATGTCTCAGAATTTAACATTTTTATTTATGAAAGTGCCTAATCCGAAACATTAAACTTAATTTAATAATATTTGTATTTCTTTTCGAATAACAATTAATAAGCATAAGAATATGCATACGAATATGTCAAATTATATTGTGGCGATATATTAATTTGTTCTTAACATTTTAACATAAGTTCTATAAATTGATAACAAGAACTAATTCTTGTGTGAATCTAATTTTTATTAAAATCTATTTTAGTTGAATGAAAAATTCGAAATGTCTACAATAAAACTTACGATTACAATAAAATATAAATTGTTTTCGGAGCATATCATAACACTTAATAATAAATATTATTTTTCTGATTATATTATTTTTCTTTAAAGAAGCAATCTATAATTCAAAAGTAACAGAAAAATAGTTACAAGATATGTATTTATAAGATTAGAAATTTATAAGATTATAAGATTAGAAAATGTGTGTGTGTAAATTTTGCTTAACAATTTTGACTAATGGTCAAAGTAAATTTCAACGAAGTAATATTGTAGAGATAATTATTTATTAATGTGTTGTACAATAAAAGTAAAGTATTTTTAAAACAAAATACTCATATATAAAAAGTATAAAATCAGACATTTGTACATTTAACTAACACTTGGAAAGTGATACAATGTAACATGATATATGTTAATACATAAGAAGATGTAACTTTGAATTATTAACGTAAAATAAACTCCACGCATTCTGAGAGATCAAGTTTCACCTGCTACTTATTTAGTTCTTCTCTTGTAATCTGTAATATATTTTCTATCTTAACGAGATAAGTTTCATATGTAGCATGGCTAGTATCACAATTTCACAATTATCCACATCTTTTCAATAAAATACAATTTGCACAAAGAACATACAAGTATACAAAAATACGGAGTTCGCTCAACTATAACTTATAAAATGAATTATTGTATAACTTATAAAGTGGAGTTATTGGTTTCGCTGATTTTAAGAAGCATGATATGAAATTTACCTATATACAACTGGAAATAATGCAAACATGAACGCCTCAATAATATAAATGATTAAATTCGTTATTGTATATAATATAAACATATAATGGACGTATTTAAAAATTATGTTAAAGCCTGCGCATAGTAATAATCTTCAACAAGCATTATAATATGCCTAAAATAATGTAGTATTAAGTACAATCTGTTTCTATGTCTAATGTAAATTATAAAAATAAAATTATCGAAAATATTGTACATAATAGCTGCACGTGTAAATAATAGCTGCACGATGAGGGTCTCTGATTGAAAGAATCAATTTTAATATTTATACAATGTCAATAATATCTATGTCTACTTCATCGAAAGTTATTATTCGTAAATTAATAAAAATTATTACTATTTATGGTATGGAATAATATTTAATTTTACGTGTAAGTTACTTAAAGAATCGGTGAATTGTATGCAAAAGATTTTAAACACGCGAGGCATGAATATTACACTCTTAATTTTCATTATAATCTTAATTTTTATTATATTTGTTGCGATTGTAACTAAATTATTTAAATTGTGATACAATTCTGTGTGTATGTGTGTGTGTGTGCTATAAAAAATGTAAACGTTTTGGACTTTTGTGAACATTAATAACTATTTTTATTAACGCAGTAATTAATTAAATTTCTACAAGAAGATGACGCTATTCCTTCATCAAAGAAGACGCTTTTTTAATTCTAATTAATGAGAAACGGTTCAAGTGGTTTTGTTAGCCGGTCGGAAACGAGACATGTAAAAGTCGCAGTCCGTGCAATAAAGCGTTGGCTCAAGCACATTTCTCTTCCGACAGAGATTACAGGGTGTCACGCATGCTCTTACAGTGGTCGTCGATGCTTGTAAAGAAGACTGCGTTACTATCGGCTGCGTCATCATGGGTACGACTTTCGCGGTAGACATTGCAAAATGCATCTGCTTGGAAAGTGGAGGATGTTGATAGGCCGGATATTTTACATTCGGCTGTATCTGACCGTTCTGCAGGGTCTTGGGGTACGTCTGATTAGGCATCACGGAATTTTGTTGATCTATTTTCTGAGGAGCTAATTGCCGCTGATAATTATCATGTCTCTGCTGATAATTCTGTGCGTTTTGTTGTTGCAATTGATGCTGATAAAACGCAGGTGAACTAGACGATGACTGATACTGGGGTAATGGTTGACCCGCTCTATTCTGCAGAAGAACGGCTTGATACGGATGACCCTGATAGGAACTTTGAGAGTATTGACTTTGATATGGACTCGGCGATTGATTAGGCGGATACGAAAACTGTTGCTGCGAATGCTGAACGGTTATCGGGCTGGCGTTGTGAGACGATATCCTTTGATTCAGAGTGTTCTGTTGCGATTGAACGCTCGCCTGCTTGTTTATCTGATTATGCTGCTGCTCCAGTTGATAATACGTTCCATAACCATTTTTCTGGGATAATACCTTCGTCTGCTGCATACTATTTTGTATGTACTGTCCGTGCATCTGCGTGGGATAAGGACTGGCTGGTTTTTGGGTTTGAGATAAAGGAATCATTTGAGTTCTCAGATGGGGTGCTTGAGTCTGCGGATACATCGACTGTAAATATTGCGTGTATGCGTTCTGGGTGTATCTGATATTCTGTTGCGGTGAATAGGACGTAGAAGTTTTCGAAGTGTTGACAGGAATACCAGCATATGTCTCTCTACCATCGACGACGTCTTTGCTTTCATTCCCACAAGACTTCTTATCCGTTAATAATCCAACGGAATCGCTTGAATTCTGCCGTCCAAATGTGGGTTTAATAGTATCTAGAATTGGATTAATGCTTCTCAGCTGATCCTGGAAAGGTGTCGCTGGTATGCTATCAGCTTCACTCTTTAAAGGAAGAGTCTGTTGTTGAAATTTCGCGACAGTATTTTCACGATTCGTCTCCGCTTCTTGAAGGCTTCTGATTTCTCGCAGCACCTGAGCAGTTTCAGGTTTGTTCATGGCAGAGCGTAAAACTCTCTCCAAAATAGGATTAGGTATATACGAGTCCTTTTCGTCGTCCTCCGCTGTTGCAACCAGCACTACCTGATCGCAGAATGATACGCTTTTCTTCTTCCCTATCCGTCGTTTCACCTTTCTCGGGGCAATGTCCTCTTCGCTTGGCAATATCGTTGTGTTCTGTATAGTGTTCTGCATCGCCACTTCGCTGATATCGTCTTCCGGACTATCAGTGGGCAAACCGTTCTCGTGTGGCAGGGTCAAGGACATGGATAATATCGCGGCATTTAATTCGCTCTGTTGAACGTTGGTATTGTTCGGTGGCATCGCAGCAAAAGCGTTCTGGTTGGAATTCGAATCAAAATTAGATTTCAAAACAGCTTGAGAACTTGGAGTTTCCGTCTTCGTAAAGACTACAGAATTCTCGGAGGATAATTTGTTAACCGATTTCGTTCCTTCCATCGATGATGTCTCTTGAGGCATATTCGATACTAGTATTGGAGAAACACAATTCACATTCTTCGATTGAGGTTTCACGTCTGCTTCTGACTTCGCTGTCGGTTGCAGCTTAATCTGTTCAAACCTAGCAGCCATATCTTTCACCGAAGAAACGACTCTCGGGCAATCCGTAACATCACGACCCTGATCGTATCCCTGTCCGAGATTGTTCATCATTAAATCGCTGGTTCTCCTAGCGATAGTCGGTCCTTGAATCGTCGGCATCGACGGAGTCCTCACTTTTGGAATGTCTTGATTTAAAGATCCTTGCCTCTTCATTTTCCTCTCCGCCTGTTTAGCTTGCAATTCTCTCAACCATGTTTCGCTCGATGATTTTTCTTCGTCCTCGTGCTCTTCTGGTCGTTTCTCTTCATTTGAACAGTCAGTCAATATTTGCTCTCTCTTACTTTGTAACTGCGTTAACAAGTTGCTAATTTGTTGTGCTTCATATTGTTGCGCACGTTGTTGAGCAGAAATTTGATGTTGTTGAGTTTCTTGAAGAGGAATTGGCTCCTCGATCGGTGGAGGTGGCGGCGGAAAATCCTCGCTAGCTTGTCTCGAATGCGACACCGAATGGATCGATGGATATGGCGGTGGTGGAAAATCTTCACTCGGTTGCCGCGAATGCGATATATTACTGTTCTCGGGATAGGGCGGCAAAGAGTCCGGTTGAAATTGTTGCTTAACTGAACTCTGCTCATTGTGTACGTCCGCACGAGTAACGACGAAAGTCGGTTCATAAAGTATGCCGTTAGCATATTGCACAACGTCATCCTGAATTCTAGGTTTATTATTATAGCTTGGTTGACACGTCCCGGAATTATTATTGCTCTGCTCATTATAGGACGGTATGAACGGAAGAGAATGAGATTCCGAGGAGTAATCAGCATAATCTGATTTTCTGTTTGCCACATTTGATGAGTTGCTCGTATTTATGTGATTCCAATAAGCATTGTTCTGATCCTGCGACGAATTAGGCGCGCATCGACCATCCGGCAAAGGATATACAACTTTGTCGGATTGTTGCTCGTTGTGCATTTCGCCCGAACATTTAGATTTGCTAAGTTGAGAAGTGGTCCTGAGCGGAGGAGGTGGAGGCACTTTTGCAACATGTAACACTTTACCGGCGTTGCCATGGAAGCTCTTTCTCATCAGACGACTTCTCTCGAGATTCGGATTGCTCGTATTTCCAGATCCACCGTTTCCAGCAAATTCCAGATGTCCCTCTGATAAATAACCGCTTAATGACTGGTTTACATCGTTGCCTTTTAAACCAACACTGGAATCATCCAATGACTGTTTTGGTAAAGTATTAGAAGATCCTTCTGGGTTCACATTCACCTGGCCATCCTGTCCTTCTCGTAAATCTGGCATACTTCTATTTTTTCTCTTGATCAAACCGCCCATGAGCAATTTTCTGCGTATCTTATGCTGTTTCTTACCTTGTTTTTGCTCTACTGCAGTTGTATTGTTAAGCTGCGTACTCCTGATAGTTGTATTAGTTTCAATGACTTCCTTCGGTTTTTCAATTTTTATTCCTTTCGGAGACGGTGATAATCGAGACGGTGCAATCGAAAAATCTTTCGAGACATTCTTGTTTCTCTCTTCGCTTCTCGCGCGTTTCTTATCCTTCTTATCGTCGTCGCAGCGTTTCGTACGACTAAACAAACCAGTCCTTTGTGTTGGGCGATCATAAAGCATGTATTCCTCGTCTTCGATAACATTGACTGCCGTTGCTTTACTTCGTAGAGTCTTCTTCTTCGGTAAAGTAGCATATATCTCGATACTCTTCGTGGTAGGTTTATCCACCGTCGCTGGTGTGTTCACTAGGAGCTCTCGACTATTTTGCCGAGAGTGATTACCTTTGTCTCGCGAACTCTGTCTCGAATGTTGACTTGATTTACTATTTTCTCGAGAGTGTCTTCCTTCAGGCATCCCTTCTAGAAAAAATACAATGTTAAATATTTCTATTCTGCATGTTTCGACAAAACAATTTATCGATATCTTACCTTCTTTGTCACCATTAACAGCCACTTGTTCTTGTAACATTCTCCTGTGCAAACTTCTCGTTCTCATGACGCAAGTATTATGTTTCATTCTTGCTATCGTAATCGTGTGAGGATTATTATACGGTGCGTCCATCGCGGCTCTGGCTTTACTGCTGGCCGCATTACACAATGCTACGGCAGTGTTAAGATCGCCAGCATCTTCGGCGGCACGGGATTTATCCAGCAACGCGTCCGTCTCCTTGCACAACCGTTCGCAATCATCGCCGGAAGAAGGTTGATAACCTTCTGGTATTTGAGCAAGCTATAAACAACAATATTTAACTTAACAAATGCACGTAAATACATATCTTGTAACAATTAAAAATTATTAATATTCTTGTATACGCATATTCTTCCGCTCTCTTTTTCTTTTTCGCAAAGTAATATTATTATTTTCAAATAAATAATAATATTATTATTTTCAAACAATATTATTATTTTCAAATAAATAATAAATTATTATTTTCAAATAAATAATAATATTGTTTTATTGAAACACAAATTTACCTGTAAATTATGTTTTAGACCTTGCTGAAGTGGAAGACTGTCCGTAGAGGACAAAGAATACGAGTCGTAGCCAGCATCGTAATGGCCGCTGCTGCTGCTCGAGAGTTCTCCAGATTTAATAGGACTTTTGGGTACGTTTGAGTTCCTTTGCATTTTATTAACAATATATAAATATGTATTGTCCATCGTGGTTGACGAACTCGATGATGCGCTGTTTCGATCACCGGACCAATTGCCGGAATCCCGTCTTCGAGGCACATTCATATGGTCAGGGATGCTGATACCGTCTTGCGGAGTCGATCCCACGCTTAAACTACGTGTCAATTGCATCTGTTGTTTCTTCTGTTGTTGCATTACAGTTTCCACGGCGCGACGACTAATATATTTCGATTCTATTTCGCCATCAACCGTATCCACGTTCTAAACAATATTAGTTTGAAGTCAGTAAAGAATATAAAGTCTACAAGTCTGTTTTTAAAAAAAAAATATAAATTTATAAAATTTAATAATTAGAGACTTGGCTCAAATAATCAAAAAATCAAAAAGAAAATGGCATAAGAGCTAACGTGCGTAAATTTATAAAAAATTATTAAAAAATAATTATACGTATTATAAATTAGAATAAATATTTATATTATTACAACAAACCTGGTTGCCAAATATATTATTCTGGATGTCTGTGAGATTCTGATAGTCACTGTAAATGCTTCGTTGAGTGTAGAGATGGGGCGGACTGTCGGGATTGGGTGTGATGGCACGTCTGGCAGTGCTGTTGATGGATGGCTTTTCAGGACTAGGTGTAATCGAACGGCGAACGCTATTCTTTGGGGACGTCTTTAAACCATTACTATTCGGAAAAGGGATAACAGTCTTTGGAGCATTCTCTGTATTAACTGGAGTACCGGCGGGCGTCGCATATAAGAGTAGTAAAGGTTGATAACGACCTCTCCTACATTTTTCCACGACTTGCTCCCATCGAGGTCCAATTTCTTTGACAGTGGCGTCATCGAAATAGATCCAAACCTGAGAAAATTTGTTCACTCGTATTATAAATTAAATTTTCATAATTAAATCACAGATTACAATGCAAGCTTAATAGCTTAAAATTGAGTTATGCTTACCTTTAATTTTGTATGAAAGAAAAAGGTAGAATAATGTTTCCCATAATAGGTAACCACTCCTACGAGATTATGCACGGTAGAGGCACCCCATCGAGAGTCTACCACACTATGGAAGACGTCGCTAAGTCGAAGGGACGTGCCCACGGTCGCGAAGACATCCATGATATGCTCCAACGACGGTCGTTCACTATCCCAGACGACACCGACAGAGACTATTTCCGGTCGATTCATTAGAGTCCGACATATTTGAATTTTTGCACCGCAAGAACTCTGAAGAAAAGAAATGAAAGGAAACGTATTGTTAATACAAACGTCTCTATCGTCTATTCTTTCTGTCTACAATTTCAGTAATAATTTTTAAAATTCTGTGCACATTTTGTTCGATTTTTTATTCTCGAGAGAAGGTTTTAGAGTCATCGAATATGAATTTATAGAAAAAGTACATTTATAAGGATGATATGAAACAGTCGTTCTTATTTAAAATCCAACGCTATAAGTGGAAAATTGATAACAAAATTGATAACAAAATATACTCCAAATAGAAAGTCTATTAGTCACAACTGAAAGTAGTTAATTAGTAGAAAGTGTTAGTCATAATTCGATCAAGTATTTTGTATAATATGTATATTTGTTTAATCTTGCTTACCGGACAGTCTCGAATATCACCCATTCCGCCTGCTTTTCGAAGAAGTTGTCCAAAAAGATCTGGACTATTTCTAGAATTCAGTGATGTTTGATGAGCCTGAGATGTTAACGCTGATGCAGACACATAATGAACCATCTGCAAATAAAAAGAGAAAGAGAATAATATATATTTGTTTTTTTTTATTTAATAATTGCAAACTTAAGAAAAAAGATTTATGAATATAATAGATCATGTGTATAAAGAGAAAAAATTATAAATATATTGTAAAATAATGGACAAAAGATTTAAAGTTCAAATTTTCTTTCTTCACAAATAGAGATAAAAATCCATGGTCGATATTATAATTAAATTTTTCAAGAGCTAATAAATTTGATGATGGATTTATGTCATATTCATAATTAAAATAAAAATCAAGCAAAACTTTTCTGATATTCTAAATATAACAATTGATGATAAAAACAAAAATCTATCGAATATCATTTGACAGCATATTTGAGATCTGTTCATGTAATCATTTAATTGATTGTAAATAAAATTTAGTATGCAAAATAATAATATCTTTTTTTATTATCTACTTGTGTAAATAGAAATAAAAGAAATATTAAAAACTGATAAATTTATAGTATTAATAACTTGGTCAATATGCTAATATTTAAATAATTACGAAATAGTAGCTCTCGATTTCTGTTGCCATTCTGCTATCATTTTATATGCACTTGCTTTGCTACAAATTTATTGCGGATGCAATTGATACCAATCTGTATGCAATATTCGAATCAAATTTATTATCAAACTATCGATGTATAATTAATATTTTGCTCAATAAATAACAGCGATTAGTTTCATGCCTTTTACGGTTCACTAGTCAATTATGCCCAATGCCATATTAAGAGAAATCAACTTCACCCACGAGATACTGAGAGCACTATATATGGGTATTATGTTGGTCCGCTTCCGCTGTGCAACATACGTTATAATAAAATGACAACAAGAAAATACGAATATTTCAATAGTAATAAAGTAACGAATAAAATCAAATGTTATATATATATATACATATATATATATATATATATATATATATATATATATACGTTTAGAAACAAACAAAAATATTATAGAGACATATATTTAATAGAGAATATTTTCTCTCTTTATTTTTTTAATATTAATAATCCTCAATTATTATGTAACAAAATTACAAAATAAAATAGAATTTTAGCGAACAAAAACAATAATTTTCGAAAAAAAAAAGAATAATAATATAATTCTATAAATGTTTTTAAATGTAAATCTATATGAGTTTTTGTATCAGATTTTTGTATTAAGTCACTTTATATATATTAATAATAATATAGAAAATAATAATATAGCAACTAATAACATAGAAAAAAGATTCAGAACAAATTGACATAGATAGTTATGAAAGAAAAGAAAAACCAAAAATCCTATGCATGTATATTTCAGGTAAATCTTGTGCAAATACACAGTATCGATGCTACGTGGAAAAGTGACGTGAGTAAAAAGCGAAAAGATCATTCGAAGGTGCGATCAAAGTGTGAAATTTGACGTGTCATCTCGAAGAAACGAGGATGACATTTGCGATTTATTCTTATATGCGATTTATTTCTTATATATCTTTCTCAAAACTATTGCATCCCATAAGAAAATGCATGGAAGAGAGAAGAATCTATGCTTGTATAAATATAAAAGTTTTATATATATAAGATAAACTTTCACAGAAAATAAAAAATTGTTCATGTAATAAAATTTAAATTGTAAATTATGTAAGTTGTTTATGTAATAAAAATTATTTATATTATGTAACATATATGTAAAACGCACCATGCACCCATTACTCAAATACGATTTTTCTTGACTGTTCTTTCACATGTAATACTGTAGCACGGATGTCGAAGAGAACATAATATTAACCACCTGTGTAATGGTAATTACACGAACCTGTGTAAAAGGTAGCGGCTCCGACGTCGCGCCGCAAGCTCCACAGACGCTTTGCTCGACGAGCGTCATGGCAAACTTTTGATGTGGCACACAATGTCTCGCACTGCACATATCTTCAGCCTCGCCGCTTGCAATATGGAGATGTATACGTAAGAGAATGTTTTCCTAAAATTGAAAACAGCGCGTTAACAAGCGTGCATTCCTTCGTATTTTCTGTCGCTGCTCGAATAGTCGCACTTGTATGGTCAAGTTAAACAGGTATATTTATTTCCACCTTTGATGTGCGTATAAGTATAATTATAGAAGATAAATGACGCTATTAAAATAAAAAAATTAATGTTAAAAAGAAACTATTAATGTAACTTAATTAATAATAAAAATAAACTAGCTAAAGCCGTTGCTTAATTCGATAAGAAACTTACGTTTGAGAATATTCAGAGCAACAGTATGCTACGATTATATTACCGTCCTTGCATCTATTGTTTCTGCGCGTTTTCATTGTGTAAGTATTAAGCTGCAGTGATATTATTCAAGCCGACTAATGTTGACATACATACGGACATACTAGCGTCCAACGTGACCGTTGTGTAAACGAGAAAGTAGTATACCAGCGGTATACTGGTAAGATTCAGTTATACTGGTAAGATCATTATTGCTAGTCCAATCTCGTCCATAACGAGGCACCATTAGCAACATTCGAAATATTCAATAACGAAAATAATGGCTTTCTCCCTCTTGTAGAATAAGAAGAAATCGATCTCACAGAGAGCGATTTGATTTAATTTGGCTGCGTTTGGTGGCTCGACTTTTGTTTCTGGACCATTAAAACTTCTGCATTATTAGGAAGAAAGTTCGATTTCTCTCTTCTTATTCTGATAGAATATATTTATATAAATTTTACCTGATCGAAGATGTATTATCGACTTATACCCCGAGTCTTTCGCCATGTGTTTAAAAATTGCTTCATCTATCGAGAACGTGATTTATCGAAAATAATGAGTAAGAAGCGCGTTTTAACTTTTTGCACGTTCAAGTCTAATCGTTTGGCAATTGACGGATTTCATTATGCGTATCGATATCTTGCTTCAATAAGGAATCTGGAAATATTGCTACTTACGAAACATTCCGCCGCGTCGTCCATGAAACCCAGCTGAAATCTCTGCTGATCAAGAAAACTCTCGGCAAGCGCGCGGCGCAACGTGTCGGGCGGCAAAGCGCTCTCTTGCGAAAACTGCAGCTGCGAAAACAAGTCCTGAAACAAGACAATGTGACGAGGATTTAATGCGGGAATTAGCAAGGAAGATTTCTCGTTAACGTTAAAAAAATCATCGCGAAACATAAATATATACTTTAATAGATGACATAAATAAATGAACATTTTATTATACAAACATATTTGTGAATGTGGTTTTATATTTTTATATGCATATATAATAAGCTTATTATTAATATTTAATGAACACTTTTTAACTGAAATAAAAATTCAAAATACTGTGAGTATGTTTTATGTGTCAATTTATATCTTTGTCATTTTAATATGAGTCGCTACAAGTATCTATAGGTATGAATATAGCGAAATAATTAATAGGCGAAATAAATTTCATCACATTACAGAAAATGAAGGGATTATTTTTTGGCTAATAAACAGCATCGGGCACGCTGCGATTGTTAATTATGTCTAATAATTGATATCTATAAAATAATCTTAAATCGACCTTATTATAATAGAATATTTTTTTGCTTCGGATAATGAGATTATATGCTTTTAGTAACACTATTGTTACTCACTTTAAGCGAATAAATTTGTGTTTGAATTTCGACGACGCAAATGTAACCGTAGATACGATTTGTATAAATATTTTATAAATAAATAAAAAAGAACGAGAGAGAGAGAGAGAGAGGGAGATTAATTTAAATTCTCTTACATGGAATTACGTGAGTCCTTACGTCATCGACGATAAAACCGTTGGTTCTCTGATAAAATCACATGTAACGCTAAACCTACCGCATTGCTCTGCTTCTTTCGTTTTCCTAATCAACATATCCAGAGATAATCGGACTGCATAGGTAATCCCGCGCAAGCGATTTTGCAACGAGAGGGAGATGTGTAAAGGCCTGAAGATGCGACATCAACCATACAACGTTACCTCGAGTTTTGCGTCGTCGTATGCCATTACGATGCCTGGCAGAGGTCAAATAGAAATGCTACGCAGACCGGTCGTAATTTGCGATCTATCGGCAGCAGCCGGGCTTTAGCAGGTTTCGTAACTAGTCCCCGCGCGATTGATGAGCAGCGGTTACATGTATAGAAAGTCGGTGCAACACTTCGAGATTTTTGCTTACCTCAGTATTTCAAAAATATCATACGCGAAAAGAATGAAGCAGAGCAGGGCACGATATGAGTTGTTTTTATTTAAATTTTTAAATTTGTTTTTACAACATTTTTCTCAAAAAATCTGATGGACGATGAATAGGAACGGATAGAGAATAACGCATCAAAAAGACTCAACGTCTATAAAAATCTGGTTTGAATGGCTCAGTCGGAGTTCATATCAGTCATGTTGTATTACGTTCGAGGCGGCGACCTAGCACTATGTCAATTCGCGTCTACAGCGAAATTCTTCAATGAAAGTTACTGCATATCGTATACGGGTAACGATGACGGTAGTGACAGATGTGTTACGTGCCTCGGTCGACGTAAAAGTGATGATAGTAACGGCATGTCTCGTATATATATCGGGAAGGAAAGAATATCGCACCTGTTCCCGAGACAACTTTGACGTCTGACGAGGAAGAAACCGACCGGTTTTAGTGGATGCATCAGAAATTGCATTGAAATGAAAGCGATCGACTTCATCGGTCATTAATTCTAAATCGTATACTTTTCGAAATTCTTTATTACGGTATTTTAAAATAAAACATCACAAAAATTGAATTCTAAAAAATAGTCGTTAAGAAAAATAGCGAATAACTTTCAATGTCATTAATATTTTATGTGCTTGTTAGATAAAAGAGAGAGAGTAAACTATAATTACACACGTGCGTTGAAATCTTCGCATGATCAAGCATTCTCAAGCTACGGTACATAATAATTTGAGAGAAACTATACATGCGGATTATCTTCAGAAGTCTTGTTTTAACTCGGCCTAATGATTATATTCATTATCAGTGATATACTGTAACTAAATTAATTAGTGTTACTTGTCATTAAGAATACTTGTCATTAAGAATACTTGTCATTAAGAATATCTACGATCCTCAAAGAATTCTAATGCGCGACTGTAAATTGATTACTATGAATATTAATAAATTAAAGGAGTCAACAAAGTCGTACTTTTTTCAGATCATTCAGCTCGATATTGCATACCGAGTCTTCTCTCTCCATACCGCTGTCCTCGGCTTCCTCTTCTTTCTTAACTTTAGCTTCAACTTTCGTCCCATTGTTTTTTATTTCCCGAGATACGGACAACGTCGTCGTCGTCGCCGACACGGACGTCGTTGCCGACGTATTTTGACGAACTTTTATCCACTTCAACATTTTTTCATCCTGCACTCACAGTTACATAGACGTTAATTTCGTCGCCTTCTATTGATTCGCTCTACGTCTTCTGTGAAGACGACGCGCTTATCTTCGAATAAACTTGTATTCCAAAGATTTTATGCATCCATTCGAACGTCAATACACTTCAAAATCGAAACGAAAACATCGTGCAAAGTGAAATGTCCTCCAGGACAGGTTAAAGACAAACTTCCACTCATTGTCAACAAAAAACTCTTCGTGATTCTTAGCACGATAGCGTTGTTTGCAGCGTCTACACATTACATGTCAGTCTGATAATATCTCTTGGTTACACTTGCTGTAACCTTACACTGTACTTTCCCTTGTATTTAATCTCTTCCCTTTTCGATCTTCCTTCTTTTTAGGCAATAATATACATTGCTATCTCTTCTGTTTGCCATCTCGAATGGTTTAGTATTCCTTACAAGCTGCGTACAGTACGTATATGATAAAATTAAAAGGACAATGACCGCTTTTGCGTTCAATTGTCCCCCGTCTATTTTTTATTGAAATATTATTTTTTTTTTATTTTAGATTCCTGGATGATGTTGTAATAAATATTACAAACGTTATTTTTACTTTGTGCGTAATAACGTTGCAATCGCAATCGCAGCGGATCAAATAAACAAGAGAGCGTTTAAGAAGAAACGAAGAAGAGAGACGCGAAGGTTGATGAGCAAGCAGTTATATCTTAGGCGAGAGTCAGGCAGATGCCTCTTTATAAAGAATTATATGCAGCAATTGCATGCCGGATATTCTAGTTGGTAGAAACCGTTGCCAGATGAATCGATTAAACACTTGTTTAGCCGGTAAAGCCATCCTTTCAATTCGCAAACTTAGCGTTATTGTGATAAGCTCGCAGCTTCTTTTATTATCATAATTCCAAGAATCTTCAGTGAGTCTGTAAATAATATTTTTAAGGAGTTTGTCCACGTTTGCCGGAGCGCACTCTGAGAGGATTTTTCATTGGAAGAATTTAAAGCAATGATACAGCAAAGAGCTTGCTCGAAAAAGTTTCTCTTCAAGTCTGGATTTTTATAAAGATTATATTAAGATTTCTCTACACGATCTGATTCTTCGGATCTTAGACAGAACAGTTTATCGTTTAATATTTATAAAACAAATATTTTTAAAACAAATTATTGTTTTATAATAAAATTTACTTCTTCAAATAAAGTTACTCTTCTGGAAATTAATGACTGGATTGAAGATTGGCATAAAATCACCTCGTTCCATCTCGATATACCACGTGCTTCTCTCGTTCCACTACGTTAACTTCTCAATCGAACAAGAAACAACTTTCTTATCACAACCATCGCTGCTCCATATCTTTGTGCTTCAATATTCGATGAAGATTCTATTCTGTCCACTATTGTTATTTAACTAGGCAACACTTATGCACAAATAAAGATGATACATCATCACGGAACAAGATTAAGCCGCAAGTTCTTTCCTTGCTAACAGCTTCCGCTCCAAATCCGGGTCACGAAGAAGCGCGCGGATGGAAACATTTTCCTGCCCATAGCTTCGTAACTTGAACAACACGATCGCGTAGTGAAACGTGGAGAAAGACCACGGAACTACCTGCCTGCACGCGGTGCCGTGCACCCGTACTTGAAGCCAGCGACTCACAGTGTACTGGCAAATGTCTCCCACTCTCTTTCCTGGTTCTCCTCGTCTTTCTCTTCTCTCTAAGAAACCATACGGTGTCCCCTTTCTCTCTTCATCCCACCTTCAGATAGATCCAAGGAGCCAATGACGTCACCCGCTTAGCTATCCTACGTTCACCTACCTACCTGAACGCCAGCTGCCCAATCAGGACTGTAATTTCTCGAAATTCGTAGGGATGACTCGTTTTTTTCAGAAAAATAGATGATAAATCGCCAATTCGTCGTTTCCGTAAAAATTTGCATCCTCTTTTTGGAAATGAAATCATTTCTACGTAATAGTTTATTATAATGTACTTTAGTTTTAAATTCATTTTTTTATGCAATTTATCGTAATGTCATTTCTCGATTAATATATAAAGCATAATAGAAATTCAAATTAATCAAATTCGTCTCTTCCACTGGGAATCTCAAAATATTGATGCTTCCTTATGTAATTATTTATTCACCCAAGTCGAATTGTCAAATTTAACATCCTTCGTAGACGGCATTTCGTCTTCCATTCCTGATATTCATCTAGTAGAGTTATGAAAGGATCTGAGGAACGACTATATTTGGAACGACTATATTTGGTTGTATAAATATACATACAAAATATTAATAAGTTAGAAAAAAATATGATGTAATACATTGCCATATAAGATACAAGTACGACCTCGCTATTGTGTATATTCTTATTAACATAACAAATATATGTACATATCAGATTTGACAACGAAATATCGAGAGCAAATCGAATCGCGAAAATGGTAAGCTTGAATTTCAACTAGAAAAAAACCAGAATACGTTATTTAATTATTACTCGTATAATATTGTGGCGATTAATGTCACATAATATCGAGCAGGAAATTACACCGATTAAATCTTGACGGTATTATTTAATCGAGAAGTGTGTAGGCATTTGTCGTAAGAGAAGTAGCCACTTACGTAGGCTTAGAACATTACCTCCTTCGTTTGCGAGACAAGGTTTATTTAAAGCGCTCGACTTTGAATGAATATTTAAACGCTAACCTGCTTGTACTTTCGATGTGATGTTGTGTAAAAAGATTTAACAGTTGAATTAAATTTCCCCAATAATTTCTTCGAAAGAAAGCATCTTGAGCTTATTAATTTAAATAAGATAAGAGAAATAAAAAAGAGAGTATGTTATTAGATATAAAATATAACATTAAATGAAAGTTAAGAAAAAGTAGTTTAAGTCACTGCTAAATATTCCGAGATATAAAAATTTAAAGAAATTATTGGCATCGACATAAATGATTCTATAATAACGAGAAATTATCTCGGATATCCATAATTAAAATAATAATCTATATAACATGTATTTTTGTGAAAAAGATTGCAAATTACACCTTTTCTCAGCAAAATTGATTATATATATATATATATATATATATATATATATATATATATATATATTGAAAAAGTAACGGTTTGCACTTTACTTAATATTATTTATAAAATATTATTAAATGTACAGAATATTATTATATTTATAAAATATTATTAAATATATACAGGAAATTATACTGATTACGATGGTTTATTATTTAGCGAATGATCTTAATTGGTTCTCAAAATTATGAGTACGGTCACCATTTATCATTACCATCTAACTAACTGTATTCAGGAACATGAAACATGCAAAAATGTTAGAATTATGCTCGTAAATACTGCCGATATGATCTGTGCTATTAGAGACACTGTACGGTTCATATCACACAGCTGCATCAAAATTAAATTTCATGGTATAAGAATTGTATAAATTTTGAACATTTTTCCGGCTCTTTAGAAATTGTAGAGTTAAATAGACAGGAAATATTTTATGGAGAAATGTCATCGCATAAATAATCATAAAGGTAAGTTACATTGTTTGTGCAACATTAGAAATTCTGTTCTCTTCCTGGGTTAACCGAAGGAACTTGGATCAGTCACTGATAAGAAATATTGTTGAGAGTATTTGTATAAATTTAAATAAAAACACACAAACATAGTTAACAAAAGTTGCAAAATTTTGTCAGCAAATATTTCTTGATATACACATTGTTTAAAAATTAATGCAAGAAGAAATATCGTGTCATGTGACTAAGGAATCTCACAGCATTAAAGAATCCTCCTCCCCCAAAATGCGTTCGTGGTGAATCATCTTAAACATTCCATTGGGGTTAAATTTCTTCTCGAGTATAGATATTGACCTTCACATGGATATGCGAGGACGTAATCTTATTATTCAAAAACTTTTTTTCCTCGTCTATGTAATTTTGTTTAATATTAATTAGAATTCAATATTAAAAATTTAAGATTTTAGTTTCATAGATTTTAATTTCTTATTTTTGTTTTATTAATTTTAAGGTATATTAGTGAACATGAATCTGTTTACAAACAAATTTATCTTTCTACGCTATAGAAATAATTATCCAGAAATTTTGGACAATTTAATAAGAAAACAGCCTTATCTGATCCCCATCTAAATGCCTTTTGGAAACATGTCACGGTATTTATTTCGAAAAGTGTTCAGCCATAATGCTTTGAAAATTTGTCTCATACCGATAAACGTGTAACAGGTAGATTTTCTGTGAAAGTAGTGCAGAGAATCTGGATGTTTAGAGATAGATCCTAAAAGTTATCTGCGTAAAAGCGCTTGACATGCTCAGACGTTAAGATGCAAGCGCGTCCAACAAAACTATCTCAAAATATTTAAAAAATATTTTTTTCTTTGTTTATATATCTTTGCATATTAAATATTCCAAATATTATATAACATAAATAAATTAATTAATAACATAGTAAATAATTTAATAATTTAATAAAAAGTAATAGTAAATGACATTTACATTCAAAGCAAGGTTTAAAATAAAATAATGTTCTCATGAAAAGATTGTGTATCATTATTTACATGTCACACAATTATCATCAAATGAGTTATAAATTGTGTAACATTTATGTCAAGATTGTCAAGTGTTGTAATGAGCGAGAAAATGAGCTTTAGTGTTACATAGTTTCGAATTGCGGTAATTTTGGGCGAAATTGCACCGCTTGAAAGACGAATCTGGTAACATGAGGCGTATTCCGACCGGTGATTGTTCTCGAATCGTGCCTGTATCCTACGTCTCGAGCAATTATCTTTCAAGATTGCTAATTAACCTCGTGAGAAGATCAGTGAGGAACTTGCATTTCCATCTACTTCTCAAGTAGCCTCGAATATACGATTACCGAATACCATCTAGTTCGTTCCTTTTCACGATAGATTGTTTTGGATCTTCCTTTGAAGCTGACCTTCCATGATAAAAACAGACAATGTCTACCACGATGGACCAACGCGCAGTTTTCCTGCGGCGCTCCTCGTCAATCATGGACAAAAACAGAGAGAACATTGGCAAAAAAATCCGTAAAGCATAGATCCCGTTATAATGGTTAGCCATATTTCGACGTGATCACGTAAAACGCGACAGAGAAAATAAATAGCAAATAGAATCAGGCTTCTATTTTCGATCTGTTCAACACTAGAGGAAAAAAGCAATTAAAAATCGATGCTACATACTAGAAATATACAATGATCATTAAATTTTTCACTTCCGGTTTAAACATTTCTGAATTGACTGCATTACATATAGACATTTGCATTTTGCATTTTGAAAAATATTAATAATATCTATTGCATTATTTCACAAAGTTTGTTAATATAATATTTCATATTCTTAGTCTCAGTATATTAAATATTAATTCAAACATGCTTATAAAAATTGAATGATGCAATAAAATTATAAGGAAATTATAGGAAACAATGAACAGATTAATGCAAAGTTAATTTCTTTGTTGTAAATATTGTTCGAGTAAATTATTCGTTTGCCTCGTAGATTCATTGTAAATATTTCAGCGCGAAGAGAATAGTTTACGCATTGAATAGAAGATAATTAGCTTTGCCTTTTCTTTACGAACAAAATACATCAGGATATTTTATCACACCTCATTTTCACTGTTATTGTGAGATTATTTCTAAATAATTTTTTTCCTTGAATTTCATACAGGGCAAAATTTATCCGGAAAAAGATTCAATTTCTTCTTTGTGTGAACATTATTTAAATTATTTTGTTTCCCTTTGTTAGGATGCGAAGCCGCAAGAACTCATCGATACGTAAAAGTGTCAAGGTAGCGCATTAGAAAAACCACAGCTTAGGACATTTGTCGTTGCAGGCACAACTACTGTAATCAATCTCGTAGTACGTTGTAACTAAAAGTTATAATTGCGAGGAGGACAAAGAGAAAAGCGGCTGATGAATATTTAGCTTTACAAGTTCTACAAGCAACTTCTCTGTTGTGTACTTTTGTCTCAATGTTTTCTAAAATTAGTTAAAAATTACGTATATTTAAAAAATATATATAATAATAGAAGAAGGTAGTAATTAAAGAGATTAATTTAAAGAGATTAATTTCTTTGCAATTTTTTGATTCGCTTACCTTGAGTGCGCAAAAGATGCAAGATTCTCGCATGCAAGCATGTCCGGAAAGTTCTCTGAAACTCCGTCGAAAAATATCAAGGTGCCATAAAACCTGAAATAAAATTAAAAAATCTTATGATAATTTTTTCATACAATTATATTGACTCAAATAAAAATTTTTCAGAAAATGTCTAGCAAGAATGAATATTTTGTATCTATAAAATAAAGTTATATTTCTTTCTTTCTCTCTTTATTAAAAAATTTATTTCTATAATATTTATTATTCTCGAAAGCTTTGTGTGAAAATTTGCATGCATATAATCGTAGCTATAATTTGTGTGTGATAATTTTAGCAATTATGTATATTAATATATGTACCACTTCCTCTGTCAAATTACATGTTATTGTGTTATTATGTCTATTCATCAAATTATACGCTATTAGTCCTTATGCACATGATTAAATTTCGGCATCGATTCTGAATGAAAAATTTATCGTATCCTTTGCATTGATGTGTACGACGTCGGGACAAAAAAGGCAACACGTGGGTATCTACGTAACACAAACGAATAATGTAACGTAAATGTGTCGGGACTCTTTATATGGCATCGATCTACACCCGTATACGACAGTAGCCCACTGTATTATGAGCACATTATTATACCGGGGGAAAGTAAATCACGATTTCCGTACTCATGTCCTCGGCCGCATAGCGGAACATAACTTCCCTTTTCCTGTGTTACGATGTGAAACAATATTCGATGCCTTTGAGAATAATATCAAATTTGAACCTTTATGCAAAAAACCGCAGACATAAGTTTTATAAATTTAATATTTATAATAATATATTCTATGGTATAATTTTTACACCAGAGTATACATACTTTACATAGTAAAATATATTCTACAATTGCGTGCATGTCCACTGCAAGAAAATAAATTTTGTTATTAATTTAAACGTAATTTTCCAAAATGTAAATTTTCTAATAATAATATAATACCATAAACAATTAAAATTTATTTTATTATTACATCATCGTTAAAGCAGATACTTCTGCAGGAAGTGTTTTTATTGAATGGGCGTATATTGAAAGAATTATGAGATTGAAAAAATAAGAGAGGAGAAGAGATTTCTTTAGAATAAATATGGACAATCTAGTCTGAATGGAATTTCTATAGAAAAAAATACGTCATTAAAACAATATAATATTTAATAGTAGTTGTATCAATAAAAATTATATAAATATTAATAGAATTTATAATCTTGTCTTATATTTTTCTTGTATTTATATTTTGATTATATTTAAATCATTTATATACATATAAGATTACCATTATAATATATTTATATTATATTATATTATATTCATATTATATGTAACTATATTTTGATAACTAATTATTAAGAAAATTAATACACACACATACTATTCCCTTATTTCTATTCTTATATTGCTATTCAAATGATAATATTTCTTCTTTTCTGGAACTTTGCCGTAAAGTTATAATTTTATAGAGCATACTCATCTCAAGCGTGCTTTGATACCTGTTAATTGGTTTTCTACCTGATGCACGAACCAATTAACGGCAAAAATTGTGAAAGGCTTGGCAATAACGGTTGTTAATGCTTATTAATCCGACAACTGTTTATCAAGTCGCATAATCAATGATTTATAATGAAGATTTATGACAATATCCATTAAATCAAAGCAAAAACAAAGGCGCAACAAAATATAATTGTTGACAATTAATTATAAAATAGTAATAATTGTACATATTTAAAATGTAATTAAAACGCACATGATTAAGATGTGCGTCACCAATCTTTGCATAATTTACTGTTCACCCGACCGCGTTAAGAAAAAATTCAAGAACGATCGTATGAATTGTGTCTGATGAGAATTTCAAAGCGCTCCAAATACCCAGTTACTGCTGCGTGACGATCGTGCGAGATATTTTCCATGGTATTATCATTATGAAGCTTATTATGAGCTACATCTACAAATAGTGATAAAAAGTGATAAAAATAATGCAAAAATTTTTTATTAATTGCAATAATGCGCTTATCTTGATTAGTGTTTCGATAATTTTTCCTCAAAATCTTATACAACCTATCCTATAATGAAAGACAAATCACTATGCAGAAACCGCTTTGCCGCGTTTTCAGCAACCGCAAATGTCTGACCTCAAGCGACTACAATAATTGCAAAGCCGCACCCAAAACTTTCTTTACAATCATCTAATCTATGACGTATCGACTTCACCGATAGATCAAAGATGAAATTATTCTACGCTTTACCAATGAGTTTGAAAGATCGGCGTCACACATTGGCGCGCATGTAAAATCGCACGGTTCACGCTAGATCTGGTGAATTGATAGGAGAAAAAAAACGCACGATGCATGTAGAATTTTCTGCAATACAATAAACGGGAAGTGCTGCAATGTTATTATCGGAAAGTTACGTAAATAAGTTATCCACTGGTTTGCCGTGCTCTCTTTAGATCGACCTTAAACCCCTCTTCAATAAAAATATATAGATATTTGCATTATCTTGTAAAGTATTTTGAATTGCAAAGTAAATATCAAGAAATTGTAAAATGATATTTGTTAATTTTGTATTGCAAACAATTTTCTTTAATTCATTATACTTGATTAGATAAAATGCTTTCATCTTTTTAAATAGCCTCTGTAAATTAGATGATAATATTTTTATCTTGTTATAAAATATTTTATAAGTCTGATCATTCTTCATAATAATTAGCAATTTAATATCACATTGAAAATGATACCGTGTTGAAAAATTTGACATTACACATTATACGATACTCCTAACTGTCAACACAATATATACATTATCAACGTATCAATTTCTTCACAAAAAAATATATAATGCGAATAATTATAATAATGCCAATTTTCATGATTTTTTTTATAATACGAGAATATCGATGTAATAATCGCGAGATGATTTACGCCATGGATAAGAATCAACAGGTAGGATGGGTATAACGGTATGCGATATTATCGTGCGATACTGAACCGCAACTTATAATACCTTACAAACGTTCATCAATTTAACATTGTTAGAAAACAAGAGAGTTCCTAATAAATAGAACAACAAAAGAGGAAAAAATATAGGATCGAACCTTGGCAATCTGGAAGAGGGCCTGCCTCCGCGGCCTCTGATCCTGCTTCATAACTATTGGTCGGTTTACTCCAATTTGCGAAAGAACGATCCGTCACACCGCTATTTTGTCACGAAAATTCGCGAGAAAACATTCGGGAATCATCGATAAACGCATCGATTGTAAATTGCACCGTACATTATGCACTGTACTCCGGAATGATCAAAGGAAACGCGAACGCAGAACGCGATGCGGCCGCGCAAGGTACTCTCTTAAGCTGGCGTCGATGTAACAATGCCCAGACGGGGCCGGGAGAGTTCAACGATGACAGCGCTACGCGGGACTCCTGCGGGCAGGTACGAAAGCGAACGGGGACCGGTGATCGCGGTCGTGGGCCCACTATAGCTCGCATACTATAGTACGCTCGTACGAGCTTATAGTACGATGTATAGTACGCTGTAGTACGATGGGATTCGGACTCTTTCAGGGACGCATCCTGCCCCCTTTTGTGAGCATCGAAAAAGGCACCTGCGAGTCATTGTGAGTCCTTTCAAAAGCAATTTTCAATTTAACATTAATATATTAATATAATATATTAATTTTCTTGATGGATGTGTGTATTATCTATAAATATTAGTTCTTATCTATTTATTAATTGTGTTTCGAGAAATTATTTTCGAAGAAAGCATGTAAATAATATCAGAGCAAATAAAATAGAGTCTCTAACATTAACTTTCAATCCTTCTCATATATATTCCTAAAAAATATATATTAATAATTATAGAAATGTTATAGAAATGTAAAAAGTTAAATATTGATTTCATTATATTATTTTTGTAATGAATTTGCATATTAATATATTACACGGGTAATTTAATAATATTAAAAAGTAAAACGCAATTTAATAAATAAAAATAAAAAATAAAACTAAAACTAAAAATAAAAATAAAAATAAAAATAAAAGTAAAAATAAAAATAAAAATAAAAATAAAAAATAAAAATATTGTACAAGAGAGATCTTATTAATATTATAATTTAATGCAATTTATCTAGGATTAATGCTAGGCAGATCCGATCCTAACATTTACTACAGTCTATACATAGACTGTAGTAAATGTTAGGATCGGATCTGCCTGGTCGATGCTTACAAGCATCGGCCATTTTTACTACGAGATTGCGGCGTGGGTGAGAGGCCTGGGATCAGTCGGCTCATGGTGGAGAGAAGGGAGGATAAGCGACGTCGGAGAAGGGCGACCAGGTTTTCGGTGGAGCGGAAAGGGGAAACAGCGAGCGTAGAATACCGAGATAAAGCATCGGTGAGGGACAGAGGACGAAGACGAAAATGTAAAAAGCGGGGGGATATGGCGAATGAGACAGAATAGGAGAGGGAATCATGGGACTGGACAACGTTTTACGTTACGCTACGCTGCTACGAGAGATCGTTACGCAATTTGATTCGGGAAAGAATGAACGGGCATGTATAATTTGGGAACTCTCTCTTTCCCCTCAGGTTTTGATGGATTAGATCTTTAACCTATCCGGTGTAGGATTTAAGTGACGATTAAAAAAAAATACTTTCTAATACTTTAAAGAAATTAATTTCTATCTATTTTATTAATCAGAATAAATCTGACATACATTTGATATTCTATCCCTAAAAAAATATATTAGGAGGAAGAATGAAATAAAAATTAATGGATTTGGACTCGTCCGGTATATAATGGATGATTTAAATGACGATTTATGAAAATATTTTCTAATATTTAAAAAAAAAATAATTTTTATCTATTTTATTAATCAAACCTGACATTTGATAAAAAATATATTAAGAAGGAAAATAAAATAAAAATGAAATTTTACAGCATATCTTCTCTCTTTTTTATTCCTCTTTATTTTTTTTGAGTAAGAATATGAAATGTTCAAGTATATACAGATTTATTAAATTTAGAAATTTGTAGATAGCTTAATATCGCTAGTCGAATTTTT